TGATTTGGTGCTCTGAGGATATTTTTAATGTATAATAAATGCCCCTTTCCCAGACTACTGAGCAGCAGGCACGCCGTCACAGGGTGATATTTCTTTTGGTCAAGCCATGCTTACGAATGCTGAGGTAGGGGATGCTGTGTAGGTCCTCGTACTTAGGAATCTATACTGGGCCTGCAAAATATTTATTAAGAAATGAAATGAAATGGAAATGAAAAAGTATCTCTATCAGGAGAGAAAGGGATTCCCAGATGCTATAGCTGATGCAACAAAGCTGTGAGATATATATATATAAATATGTAAATAGCACAGTTTGCAAAAATGATTTGTCTACTAAACTGGGAAAACAACAGGGAAGATGAGTTATAAGTAGGAGTGATCAGGTGTCCTGGTCTAGAACCAGACTCTGTCTGGTTAGCATCCTCCTTCAGAAGTGTCCTGGTTTATACGCTAAACTATAGGGTCACCCTAGATATAGGTAGGGCGACCCTAAGTGTCCGGTTTCCTGGGACAGCCCTGGATTATACTCATTACCCTGGTATGATGCTAAATTACAGAGTTGCTCTAGTGATGGCTTATCTTAATCAGGATTTTTCCTTTGGTCTACACAACCTTAAACAGAGGCTGCCTTGTGGAAGGCTTCAGTTTGGGAAGAGAATTTAACACAACATTTAAGCATAAGAGAGAATAATAAAATCAGAGAACAAAGCTGGAAAATGACAAATTAAAGACAGACTAATGCGTGGACTCCTAGAATAGGCACTTGAATCGGATTGAAGGTTAGGATCTTGTATTTTTGAGAGCCAACGCTAAAATCCAGACTGGGTTTAAATCCAGCTGACATTTACAGTAAATCCATGGCAATCTGTGAGCTGCTAGTAAATGGGTATTGATGAGTTTTGTAGTCTTACACAATAATTCCATTTCCTCATTTTTTATTCAGGTTATTTTATCACACATATTTAGAATTTCCCCAAAATGCTGAAGTATTTGTTGTTGTAGAGCTTATGTTTTAAGTTGTGTACTTTATTTGTTATCTCCATAGAGATTCAGGTTAGTTACCATCTATTATGGGTGCATGAGACAAATTCTTACATTTTTCTTGCAACTTTAAGATTCCTTGATTCTTACTAAAGGTAAGAATTCTTACAGGGATGGTTTCTCTTGTAAGCAACTGTAATAAAATTCTCCACAAGACCTCCTGCTCTTATTGTTGTAAGGGGTCCAGGGAGAAATGTGTACAGGGGACAAGTCACCAAGTTTTGTATTTCAATTCCTTTGCAGCAATTAAAACACCCAAACCTTGTGAACCTCATTGAGGTGTTCAGGAGAAAGAGGAAAATACATTTAGTCTTTGAATACTGTGATCACACACTTTTAAATGAGCTGGAAAGAAGTCCAAATGGGTAAGTAATCTAGCAACTGAAGCTCTGTGTGGTCGGGTCCCAGTTTCAGTCCCGGTGGGATTAACTCCGGCAAACTTCAAATCAGAGCCGCAGTTCCCCTTTCTACCCAGATGCACCTGCTGGCTACCCCTCTCCAGTCTCAGTTAGGATGTGCTCAGAGGGCAAATGAGTATTAGCCTAGAGTAGAAATAATTAGGAAGACAAACCTACACATGTAAATCACAATGCATTTTGAGGCCAAATTATGTATTGGGGCCCGAGCCGGTTTGGTTCAGTGGATAGAGCGTTGGCCTGTGGACTGAAGGGTCCCGGGTTCGATTCCGGTCAAGGGCACTTGCCCAAGTTGTGGGCTCGATCCCCAATTCGGGACATTTAAGAGGCAGCCGATCAATGAATGATTCTCTCTCCCTTTCCCTCCTCTCTGAAATCAATAAAAATATATTTTTAAAAAAGATGCATTGAAATAAAAATTCCAGAGTAAATATTTAAAAAATAAATGTTATGTATTGGATTGTCTGAATTCAGGGAATGAATCGTGGTTCAATATCAGGAAGTCTATTCACATAATAGATTAAAATAGAAAATATATATATTGTATGTTGGTAAAATCTGAAAGGCAGTTGATAAATTCAGTATCCTTTTCTGATTTTTTTTAAACCTTAGCAAACTAGGATTAAAATACTTTATTAGCACGCGCGCGTGCACACACACACACACATCCCTACACAGACCCTCTTCCAATCAACAGCTAATTTTATACTCAACACTAAAGGAACCACCATGAAAGTGGAAAACAAGACAAGGACATCAGTTGTCACCCCAGCTGGGATTTGAACTCTCTCTCATAGTGCTCAAAATGGCTATGCTATTCTTTCTAACTCTTAAAATTTTTAAACACTATTGTCTCAGGTTTGGCTCTACGCCAGTGGTTCTCAACCTTCCTAATGCCGCGACCCTTTAATACAGTTCCTCATGTTGTGGTGACCCCCAATTTCATTGTTACAAATTGAACATAATTAAAGCATAGTGATTCATCACAAAAACAATATGTAATTATATATGTGTTTTCCGATGGTCTTAGGCGACCCCTGTGAAAGGGTCGTTCGACCCCCAAAGGGGTCGCAACCTACAGGTTGAGAACCGCTGCTCTAGGCAAAGGGAGACCATTAAGCTGTGTCAGAATTCAGTACAGGAAACAGAAATCACTCCAGAAATTTCAGATGGAGGTGATTTAATACTGAGAACTAGGTGCTTTCACAGTATTAATAATTAGAGGCGCTAGGCTAGAGGCAAAGGACTGCCACCAGACCGCTGATGTCACTGGCATGTCACCATAACTGTGACCCAGATCGGGAAACTGCCCTGAGAAAAATGCTGCCACACACTTGTTGCTGTTTCTCAGCATTTACCCTAGCCCCACATGGTGATGTCTTGTTGCTAGTACCCCACCCAAGTCATATACAGGTGGAAGGCCAGCTACATCTGCATGATTCATTCAGTTTTCAAAAAGTGATCTGAGCATATTAAGTATCCAGATATGATGAAATAGTAAAGCTGAGTGATGGGTGTGTTTGGAATATCAGATAAGTTTAAATTTAAAAACTTACATTTGATAAAAAATCTTGCTTCAGAGTTTTTCTTTTTGAAATATGCAAACAGCAATCCCATCTCATGACTGGGATTGAAAAACAACACCACACTGAGAAAAATAGTTGTAGCACATATGCAGACTCTGACATACATTGAGTCTTCATAAGTCAGAAGGGAGTAAACAGACCAATCAAAAAAGCGGTAAAGACTCTGAACAGGAAATACACAAAAGAAGAAATGTAATAGCCAATGATCATGTAAAAATTAACTTCACTAATAGTTAATGACATGCAAATGAAAACCAAAATGAGGCCTTTTTATTTTAACCACAGATTGGCAAGCATAACCCTGCAAAACCAAATGAGGAGATAGGGCCTTTAATGCACAGATGTTTTGTGGGGGTGTAAATGGGCATAACCTTCCTTAGGGAAGGTAGTTTGGCAGCGTGTAACTGTGAAGGCGTCATTCCTGGGACCGTGAGGTGAGCAATGGGAAGACAGCAGAAAAGTTAAAGGGACTGTCATTCCTCTAATTTGTAGAGACGGTTACACAGAGCACATTTCTCCCAGCCAGAATACAAGTTGTCCAGCTCCCCAGTTCCCCATGGAAAACACACCTGCCCATCCATGGTATTTCCCAATGTTTTCCACACAGTGTAAGGATTCTGCAGGGACCAAGCTCCCAGGCTCCCATTCCCAGGCCCTTTATTCTCCCTGGCCTTCCCTGGCTCTGCACCCACCTGCTGACCAGGTGTAAGTCACTTTTACAGAACAGCCCCAGCACTTGCTTGAGTTTTTACCACCAACATGAATTGGGCGACTTGACGGTCAGTCTTCAAGCATACCTCTTTTCCTGCAAAGCCAGGCCTCAGGTCTCCCTGAGGTTCATCCCTGAGGATCAAAATGCAACATGCACCTACCATTGGTCCCAGAAATCCCACTTCTAGAGCTTACCTTAAAAGATAGTTGCACAAATGCAGTGAGATGGATGATTACATATATTCATTGAAGCATTGTTACTAGAAATAAAAATTGGATCAACCTAACTGCTCATCAATGGAGACTAAGTAAATTATGATACATCCATATGGTATGGTACTTTACAACCACAAAATATCTGTGTACGTATTAATATTTCTACTTCTGTGCATAAAAGTGTCTGAAAGAGGCAGGGAAGTGGCGGAGGATGCACTGGGTGGTTAGGCAGGTATCAGAGAAGAGTTCATAGATACACTTTCATGTTTTTTGAATTTTAAACCATATGAATGTATTTTTTTATATTTTATTGATTTTTTACAGAGAGGAAGGGAGAGGGATAGAGAGTTAGAAACATCGATGAGAGAGAAACATCGATCAGCTGCCTCCTGCACACCTCCTACTGAGGATGTGCCCGCAACCAAGGTACATGCCCTTGACCGGAATCGAACCTGGGACCTTTCAGTCTGCAGGCCGACGCTCTATCCACTGAGCCAAACCGGTTAGGGCATATGAATGTATTTTTTAATATTAAAGTTAAAAAGTAAATTTGAACACACAAAGGGAAGAGAAACAGAGGTGCCTAGAGGAACAGCCACCGTAGGTGATGGCAGTTATTTGGGGGGAGCAAGATGCGAATCAACACTTTTTATTCCTTCACTTTTCTGTGTTGTGTGAGTTTTCATGTTAAGCCTGTATCATTTTTGCAGATGTGAAAATTGAAACTTAAAGAGGAAATTATGTAATTACAATGAAAAAATAGTAAAGCGATTTTCATTAAAACATTTTTAAAGAGCATTTCCAAGGCACCCTTTGCACTGTGTTTGCTGGCCATCACAAGCCCACTCACTCCACTTCTGTTCTCGCTTCTGCTCCTGTAACCCCATCCCAGGAGTTTTTTAATTTCCTCTTTTATTTTTTTCCCTAGAGTTGCTGATGGAGTGATTAAAAGTGTATTATGGCAAACACTTCAAGCTCTTAATTTCTGTCATCAACATAACGTAAGTGACATTTTCTAATGCATTTGTTAATTCTTCATGATGACTCTTCTAAGTAGCTCAGGGGTGTCTTTGAAGAGCTAAAAACAGGGAGAGTAAGAACCAGAAGAGCAAAACAAAAGAAAGTTACCAAATATGAGGAAAAACAATGCATTATTTGTGGCCCTTTTCCAATTTCTATAAGAACCAAATTTCTAATTCCTTATGAATTAAAAGTTTGTATGAACTTAATGTTTCTTTTTGCCTCAGTACTACTGATTCCTATGACTATTTTTAAATTGGATTAAAATAAGTTCTCTAGAGTGTAATCCACTTTGGCACTTTGTTTTGTTTTTATGTCTCTTAAGTCTTTTATTCTATAATAGTCCCCCTTCCCCTACCTTTTAAAAATTCTTTTTCATCATTACTTTTTTATAGCCGTAGTTCTTCAAACCCAAGCATGCATCACAATGCCCAGAAGGTCTTGCTAAGACACAGTTTGCTGGGTCCACCCCCAGAGTATCAGATTCCATGGGGCTGGGATAGGACCCGAGAATTTGCATTTCCAAGCATTTTCCTGGTTGATACAGAAGCTGCTGGTCCAAGATCCACACTTTGAGTCCCACTGTGTTACTGAAATCATTCTGACTGATTGCATCCTGTGTCAAACTGAACTTGGTCTTTTGCCTGTTTTTCCTTTAAATTGGCATTTATATCTAGAGGCTTGATCATTTTCAGGTTCATTTTTCTTCACACAAGAATAGTTCATACATAGTGCTGTGCACTTTTTATTGCATCCACATCATGAGGCATCCAATGTCTGGTTGTCCCACTGAGCCACACCAACCAGGCCAGAAATTTTAGACTTCGATGCAAACTCATTTGAGGAACATAACCTGTTCTTTGTAAATCACCAACTTTTGTGAGTATGACTCAAAGTGTTAATCCAGGTTTCATAAATGGGTTACCTAAAAGGTAGAATATCAAAATGAAGGTGGTTTATATTACAACAATGTATTTTTTAAATTAATAGCTAAGGCCTACGGCTTTTAAGGGGCCTCAAAAGGTTTAACAGTTGACAGTGGCTGAATTGAGACTACCTGAACTAGCTTCTATTGCCAGTGCCATTTTTGTGACCAAAAATAAATTAAGGATTTAACATGTTCTCTTCCTAGATAGTTGCTCTAGAAGCAAAGAGAAATTATTAGAACTGTTCATTTGACAGCAACACTTACAGGGACGGACAGCACAGCAGAGAAGTGAGGCAGAGGAGCCGATTACTATGATGCTCCATCTGGGACTGTCAGTGGCTTCCCGCAATCACAGTGTTGTTGTGGGGATGAGCTACTTACTTCATGTGAAGGCGCTTTGGGAAGTACAGAGCTCTGCCTGGGGGCTGAGTTAGAGAACAAGAGCACCATCATTCTTATCATGTGGCCCTCTCTCAGGAGGGCTGCCAATCCTAATTATAAGGGAGTTTTGTTTATCACTCAAACGTTTCTCCAGTTTCTCAAATGTGAATGTGATTCTTGGGTGGCAGTAGTTCTTATTATAGGTACACTGAGACTCACCTCATCGAGGGTTTTACTCTTACAGTTAAAATAGAACCCGGTAAAAAGTGGAAGAAGTAAGTGTATGATACTGCCTTCTCTCCCCACAAAAAAGTCAGTTTTTATATCCAACAATTATTTCTTCACTGATGTAACAACATTTTTTTTTCTTTTGGTGTGATGAGTGAAAAATTGCCAATTTAAGTTCTTTGAAGAAAACTATATTTATTTTTATCTCACAGACTATGTTTATCTCTCATTTAAAGTAAGAGGTAATGTTTTCTATGCTTTGTAATTTTGATGGCTCAAATAATTAAATATTATCTTACAGTGTATTCACAGAGATGTAAAACCTGAAAATATTCTAATAACTAAACAAGGAATAATCAAGATATGTGACTTTGGATTTGCACGAATTCTGAGTGAGTAACCACTTTTTACTAACTTACTCAACTCAGATGATTATAAAATAATATAGTTGAAAACCTCACTTTAGATATTGAATGAATGCAAATGTCTATTGTTATTATTCAGAAATGAAAATCTCACTTTCACCTTTAGTCACTGCATTAATTAGCACTTCAGCTCCGCTCCATTCAACTAGAATTTATTGGACATCACATTTATATGCTTTTCCCCATAGGAGAAGAAAAGGGTTATAAGGTGCATTTCTGCTCTGCATGCTCTTATAATCTCAAGTAAAATAAACAAAAGAGTAATGCAGGCTGGTTGGCAAGGAAGTGCAAAAGTGAAGGTGCAGACGGTTCCCTGGAGGGAGATGCTCATGGGGGCTGGAGTGGTTGGCAAATAACTTCACAGAGCTGGTGAGACTAGAGAGTGAACTGACCGTTAAAGAGAGGATTCAGAGACAGTGCTAAGAAAGAGGGAATCATCCCAGACAGGGAGGAACCAAGGGGGGAGGGGGACAAGTCAGTGTTGCTCCCCAGATCTAGAACTGCACCAGGCTGGCAGCATACACATTGCAAGGTGGTGTGTACACCGTCAGCATCCGGACAGGACCCAGGCACAGGGGACTTGACCGTGCATTTGGAAGCTGGTTTACACTTGACCTTACACTAGAAATTGTCAGTCACACTGCCCTCTGTTCGGGATTACATAGATGTTAACCAGCAAAGGTGCCTCTGGAAGTTGAATGCACAGTGTAACTGTTTCCTCAATCGGCATCACGGCATGAACTGTTAGGAGTGTGTGGCTGCTGAGAGTTTTGAAGCGTGCCTCGGGCCTGCTCTTAGGAGGAGTTCACATGTTGGGAACAGAGGACCCGCCTCATCTGATCGATGTTTGCAGTTCCAGGAGATGCCTACACTGACTATGTCGCTACGAGATGGTACCGAGCTCCTGAGCTTCTTGTGGGAGACACTCAGTACGGCTCTTCAGTCGACATATGGGCTACCGGCTGCGTGTTTGCAGAGCTCCTGACCAGCCAGCCGCTCTGGCCGGGAAAATCAGATGTGGATCAACTTTATCTGATCATCAGGACTCTGGGTAGGAGCTGCGTTTTATGGCTTACAACTCCCTAAGTTGTCATGGTAACAGCATGCCATTGTAATGACCAGCAGGGGCTTTCTGCCTCTCCAAGGTGCTGGTCAGGATGGTGGGGTCTGGGTTGGAGCCAAAACCCAACCCTTTCCTCAATCTGTCCAGCCATTAGTCCCTCACTGAGGAATTTCCAGATCCTTTCCATGTCAAGCCACTTAGCCAAGGAATAAACTACACATCTGCTCTCTGTATTGGGCTCTACAGCTAAGGATGTGCATCAGCTGTAGACCTTACTCTTAGGAGGTATTAGATCAAATGCCATTTCTGTCCACTGTAAAAGAGGGTTTGCCTTTTACATGGCAACATTGTTTGTGATGCCTTTTTAGAAATGAGAAGCTGGGGCTCGGGGCTTCCATGATTGGCCTAAAGTGCAGAATAGGAATGGAACTCGGAGAATCCCTTTCCTCATGTGTCAGCATCCTCAGCAGTGGTCTGCCTCCTGTCTGGAAGGGAATATAACCCAGAAGGTTACCTGCAGCTTTACTCTGGCACCATGGCTGCAAAGATACATCTACACACAGAATGAACATTTATTAATTCCTTCCCATAGGCTCTCCTGGCAGCGTGGGTGCCGGGCAAGGGAATTACTGCTGTCCGGTCTGGTTCCAACACATTCTTCTGGACAATTCTGCAGGATGAAAAATGTGGGGGAGAGTATCACCTCAGGACGCGCCTCTAGTGTATTTTGTTTGATTGATTTCCTGAAAAGGCCAGTGGAAATTTACATCAGGTAGATACTAGACAGGCCTGAGTTTGAAATCAGGTCTGTCATTAAATGACCATGTGACTTTAGACAGGTTACTAAACTCTAAGCCTCATTCTCATTGATACAGTGGTGACTGAAAGTGGCACCCATTGTTAGATTGTATGAGATTAAGTAAGGTCCCGTGTGTAAAGGCCTCCGCACCGTGTCTTACCTCCTCGTTTGGTGGAGGCTGTATGCAGGCCACGCTACCTGTGGCAGAGAGTTGTGTGGGAGAACTGACCTTACCTGAGAAGGTGACTTTAGGCAGGGACCTATTCCTTCCAAATCTGAGGCCACAGTCAGGATCAGCATTTCCTTCGCATCTGGACCTCAGAAGTTAACCATTTAAACACTGTATTACTTTTATAAACTGAGCATAAATTATGTGGTTTGTATTTTATAGGAAAACTAATCCCAAGACATCAGTCCATCTTTAAAAGTAACCAATTTTTCCATGGCATCAGTATTCCTGAACCAGAAGACATGGTAACTGCTCAATTTCGGATGGTTTATTATTTGTGTTCCTACTTTCTTTAAAAGGGTAGTTATTTTTCTTGTGTGTTTTTTAATTTTTATGCCTTTAGCTCCTGTTTTCCTTATGCCACACTAACACAGATCAAAGAAACTATATAAAACTATATGAATTGATCAGGAGAATGCTTATAAAGTTTACTTGCCCTATCCGAAAGCTAATTTAATATTAGCTTTGAACTGCAAGTCTGTTTAGTTCCTTACACAAATAACTGATCCTTCTAGTCAAAACACTCAGGTACCTTTTCCTGAAATAATTATTATCTCATAAACAATACTTACTGTAGTACTTTTTTATTTTGAAAAAATGCATTCTCTGTTTTTCAGCATGCGAAACAAAGCTCAAATCAATAGAAACCATTTTTTCACAAAGTATATTTTCACACAGAAGGTCATTCTACAGAATGATCCTCACTGTATCCAAGTCAAAACTCCAGACTGCGATGCTCACCTCCACACTCTCGCTCTGGGCTTTGCCTTTCTCTGGGAATGTATCACCCACTACCTGACCCTCTTACATTCTGTACACATAGATTTCCTGTTTGTGTTACCTAAGTTTGGGCTGTGATCTTTAAAACTCCATATGGTCTGGATTCTGCCTATAGAATGGACTGTTCATAGGTGTGTGTCCACACTCACACTGCCTAGGTTGGAATCAGAGGGGTGCAGGGAGGGGAAAGTCTGTAAAGACAGATCATGATTTACGGCACAGATGAACAATCTGAGGTTTAAGACGTCCCAGCTATCTCTAGACACCATCTTTGTTTTAAATGTATTTCATATAATAGCTTGATTTATATACTGGCTCTCTTTTATTAAATATAATAAAAGGTTAAAAGTTGATTTACAAGGCTAGAGGTTAAATTACAAAAGAACATGCAATTTAAAGAATAAAGCAACAAATACACAGTAAGAATGTTACCACAATCTTTGAAACTTCCTCCTCCCTGAATTCTCTCCTCAATCCCATCCTCCTCCCTCCTCACTATTCTGAGTTTATGTTCATCATCCCATGGCTTTCTGTATTGCTCTTACACATGAAGTTCAATGTAATTTTCACTGATGCTCAAAGCCTTCCTGTGAGTAGATCAGACACAAGTATTATAGGACTGTTGTAATATTTCCGAAGGGGACATTTGGAACCCACATTTATCAAACATCAATTGCAAGACATTGTGAAATTAAGAAAATAACTCCAATTTTTGTCTTTCAAGTATTTACACTATAGTGTAACATTATGTAAAAATATGATTTTTATTAAAAGAAATTATCTAACCTACTAGGGAGTCTTTTTTCAAAGTGTTCTTCTTATTAATATATTAAGATATACATTACGTTGTTTTTATGTAATGTTAAAAGTTTTTACTTTATGTCCTAGGAAACTCTTGACGAAAAATTTTCAGATGCTCATCCCATGGCTTTGAATTTTATGAAGGTACTTAAGAATCACTTATAATCATTATTGACTGCAAATTGTAATGATTGAAGCTGGTAACTCTGGGAGGAGAGGGCAGTAGTACAAATAATGCCAAAGTAGGATGTAGTCATTGAAAATGATAAGGAACTATAAAATCATTATAGTTAAAGGAACATCAGTGGTGTAAGCAGTACTCTTTCTAGGAGATGGCCCTGGCTGGGTGGCTCGGTTAGTTGGAGCATCATCCTGTACACCAAAAGTTGCAGGTTTGACTCCTGCTTATGGCACATACTGAGGTTATGGGTTCAATCCCCACTGAGAGTGCATAAAGGAGGCAACCAAGTGATGTTTTTCTCTCCCTTCCTCTCTCTAAAATCAATATAAAGAACATATCCTTGGGTGAGGATTAAAAAAAGTTTTTTTAATTAATATAATTGGGGTTTGCTGTGATGAACACCATTACTTCTTTTGCATTCATTAGAAATTTGAATATTAAGTTAGTATATTCAGACTATGGAAGTTTATGATGTTGAAGGTATAGAACAGCACAGTCCAGTATGGTAGCCACTGCATGTTACTATTGAGCACTTGAAATATGGCCTACTTGAATTGAGATGTACTAGATTTCTATTAAATTACTATTAAAAATATAAAATATTTCATTAATATTTTAAAATATTAATTGCATGTTGAACATTTTAGATATGTTGAGTTAAATAAAATTTTTAATGATTTTTAAAAAATTAATAGAAGACCAGGCAAAGTCCGAGTCATATAGACACCATAAATGGCCTCTGCACGGGGCCTAAAAGAGATAGTTAAGCAAAGGACAAATTCTAGTAAAAAGTAGAAGAAATTCACCTATGACCAGGCTGCTATTCATGCTTGACCAACGGAGGGCATGCTAGATATGACTCTTCCATCAAAGTGCATACTAAAAGCCCTTAGGGGACAGGGATGGAGCTACCAGTAAAAGTATCTGTCTTTAACAACCAATTAAGTTCTATTTATAGCTGTGGTTTCCATATATTCATCAGAATGACCTGGAAGCTTTTTCAAAGCACACGTTCCAGTATCTAACCTCAGATTCCAGAAGCAGAATCTCTATATATAGGACCTTAGAATTTATATCATTAAATATCCCCCTGGGTGATTATGCTAAGCAGCCCAGTTGAAAACTCATATGACCTAGAAAGTGGAGCCATCTGGATGACCTAGAGTTGACCTTGTAGACCGGCCTTTGTGCCAGTGCTGGTCACTGCAAAGGTATTATCCAGGGTGCTGGATTCCTTCAGTCTGAGTCCTCCTGAGACCTGGAGCCTGACCCCTCTGTGCTCTCAGACTGCCCTTAGCCCTGCTCCACTGGACCTCAGCTGTCTTCTGCTGGTCTCACTGCTATGACCTGCCTTAACCCAGCACTTTGCAGGCCCTGTCCTAGAAGCCCCATTTCCTGACCTTGTTCTGGACAGGTTGATCTGACCCGCCTACAGTTTAACAAAACCCAGTTGGGGTGGGGGGTGTCAAGCACTGCAAGCCCAATCCATTCTCATGGTGAGGCCAGGCCTTCCTGTGGTTCCTCCTTCAACTAACCAGAGAAAAAACTCCCAGGACACGAAAACTCCACTGTATAACGCAGACTCCCTCTCCTCATCTCCGAAGTTGGAGTGCCCTGTTGGCCTGCCCAGGATTCTGGATGAAGCTAGTTTTGTCACTCAGCTATTTGATTTAGACTCAAAATGTTTGACCTGAGACCCAAGAACTCTCCTAAGTGCATCAAGGATTGTGCTACTCAGTGGGCCACACCCTATGTCCTAGACTCCTGCCCCATGTTAGATGGAGACAGGCTTTCTTTCATTAATTGCAATGGAGACATCTTTAACAACAAATGAGCATCAGCTACCATAACAGGTAGTTATCCCGAGAGACTGGGTCAGAATCTAGGCAAGGAACTGCTCAGGTGGGTGAAGTGCCAGCCACTGGCAGTGCCAAGGACAGTGGCGGAAATGCAGGGGCCAGTATGTGGCAGATCTGTGTTCTGTTCATTAGGTTTAAAATGAGACAATGGGTACAGTATTTATTTTTTATTACTAATATGTTTTCATAACCAAAACCATCCTATTCCTACATCAGTTTTATCTGGTCATCAAGAAGAAGACTGTAGATTCTTGGAAATTTTGAAGGACTTTGAGTGAAATTTGAAGTTTCAGGAAAAGGATCCTGACTTGGACTTTGCAGTTCCAAGTTCTTGTCCCTCATCTCTAAAACCTTTCCCATGTTAGGAGCCTCTTGGGTTACAGAAAGCTTTTAACCAGGCCGCCAAGAACTCAGAAGCCTCAGCTCCATCCAGGTCATCTCAGTGCACCTACAACTAATCCAGCGGGACATTGCTCCAGCTCAGGCCCCGTGGAGCAGCTCAGCTTTAACACTCTCTTCTTAAAAAACTAAAAATGCTCTTTAAAAAAAAGCAACCCATAGGTCTTTAGTGAAAGAGTAGATTTCAGTAGACTGAACATCCAAACAAGGAAGTGAATGAATTCAAGACATGGAAATAAAACTGGTAGTGCGATGATCTTTTAGATCTGGGGAGTGAAGTAGAGGAAGGGGGCAAAGAGTGTCTGTCTCAGTTTCCTAGGGCGAGCATAGCAAAGTACCAGGAACTGGGTGGCTCAAACAAATTTATTCTCACAATTGTGGGGACCAGGAATCTAAAATCAAGGTGTCAGCAGGGCCATGCTCTCTCTACCGTTAGATCTGGGGAGTGAAGTAGAGGAAGGGGGCAAAGAAGTGTCTGTCTCAGTTTCCTAGGGCGAGCATAGCCAAGTACCAGGAACTGGGTGGCTCGAACAACAAATTTATTCTCACAATTGTGGGGACCAGAAATCTAAAATCAAGGTGTCAGCAGGGGCATGCTCTCTCTACCACTCCTAGGGGAGGATCCTTCCTGGTCTCTTCCAGCCTCTGATGTCCCAGGCACTCTTGGGCTTCTGGCAGCAGAATCCAGTTTCTGCCTGTCTTTACATGATGTACACTGTGTGTGTCTGGCTTTGCATGTCTTCCCTCTTCATATGAAGACACCAATCAGATTGGAGTAGATCCCACACTACTTAGGTATGACCTCATTTTATCTAATTACATCTGCAAAGGCCCTATTTCCAAATAAGGTCACATTATGAGGTCCTGAGGGCTAGGACTTTAACGAATATTTTGGGGGTACACAGTTCAACCCATAAGAGTGCCCTTGAGACAAAGCAGAGATATTAAGTAGGCCATTGCACCTGTGGGTCCAGATTTCAAAGGAGAGGTCTGGATCAGACACATACATGTGGAAGTCTCTGGTAAACCTTGACCATTGAAGCCATTGAGCACCAATGAGATTAGCTAGAAACCTAGAACAAATGAGAAGAAAGGGGAACCTGGGATTGAGCTTTGAGAAATTTCATGCAACCGTTGTGGAGGAGAATGTAAAGGAGGAAAGGTTGGTTTGAAAAGGGATGGCCAGGAAGTAGGAGGAATGAAAGTGAGGCATCAGAGAAGCCAAAAGAAGAGTTTCAAGAAGGAGGACGTGGTCAGTTGCATCTAGCACTATTGGGAGGAGAACACAAAATATGGAAGTATATTTAAGGATAGGAAAGTAGAGATCATAGGTCTGAGTAGCAAGAACCACTTGAGAGTGGAATTGTGGAGGCAGAAGCCAGAGTGAAGTGAGGGAGAAATAGAGGTGACCACAGTTATTAGCAAGCTGTAAGCACTGGATAAAATACAGACTTGATTTTTCTAAACTCATATTTGCTCTATCCAGTGATTACTCAGAGTTTTGGGTCACAGTAACAACATAGGCCCCTCTTTTAATGTCTTCTTTGCTTTTCATCCAAGGAGTGTCTGAAGATGAATCCAGATGACAGATTAACCTGTGCCCAACTCCTGGAGAGCCCCTACTTTGATTCTCTCCGAGAAGACCAAATTAAAAGAAAAGCACGTAATGAAGGAAGAAGCAGAAAACATCAGCAGGTACCTCCATTCAAAGGTTAAAGTGCTATTAAAAAGATTTTTTTTCCTTTTCCTACGTTTCAAAGTGAGACTAGATGGACACCAAGACCTTATTTTTGCACTGGTTTAGTTGTATTTGTTTACCTAATAAATACTGGTTGATGTAATAAAATCATAAAGCTATGAAATATCCAAATTGTTACAAAGTCTTATTCCAAGTACACTTACTGCACAATTCTTTTGTTACACTGATTGGATATCCCACCCACCAGAACATGTACCCCAAATACAGCAGCTTCATACAATAATACCCCATTACAGCAGGACTGAGTTGAAACCCGCATGCAACGGAATCCCAGTACCTTTCCGTAGCCTCCAGACGTGCAGTACAGGACACGACTCTTCCATCTTTTCACCCCGCGGGCACGTAAGTCTGCCTTTCCTAGATTTTTTCTCCAAGACAAGGACAATTCTGGCCAGATGCAAAGGGATGAAACTCAGGTATCTGGGAACCAAATCCTATCCTCAGATGTACCAGTATTACATAAAAACATGGTAAATATGGTGGCAAACGTTGATTCTGCAGTTTATTAGGCGACTACTTTTTACTTGCTTTCAGAAAACTTTGAAGTTAAAACATAAATTCATAGAAGTTTTGTTTGGGGTCCCCGCCCCCTCATCTTATATCCCCAGCACCTAAAATAGTATTTTGTCATATAACTATGATCCAAATAACTAAATAGATAAGCAGTGGTTCTTAATAAGACAAGATGGTAGTTTTTAATTTATCAGAGACTAACAATCATCCCATTTTCGTTTGCTTAATCTTCCGCCTTTGATCTACTTCTTGGTCATTTATCTTCTCATTAGCATGTCCCAATAAAGGAAGAGAGCAGTCTTTTTTTCAACTATTTGATAGTTAAAATAGAAGTTTGTTGGGAGAGAAACAGTAGAGTAATCAATAAGGAGAACTATTATGGTGATTTCTCTGTATCCGAAACCTCTGGATCTCCAAATTTGTATTGCGTAGATCATTTTACTGTTAAAATTACATGTATGCAAGTTGAGCCCAATACAGTTTAGTTAACCAAAAGATTAGGGTTTGTTCAAATAAGTCTGAGGCAGCAGTATGAAATACGGTGTGACTTGTGTGTAAAAACACTGTCCCCTTCAAAACATCTCACTAGATTCCTTGCCTATGGCCTGGGAGGTCAACAGCAACACTGCTCCATCCTGCCTCTTGGTTCCCAACTCAAGTTCTGCCACACTGTCCTCAAATGGGGTGGGACGTGCTCCACCTTTAAGTCTCCAGTTCACAGCTGGACACTTAAAGCATCTCTCCACCACGTGAAGTCTCTGGAGGGCAGGGCCAAGATAAACAGGGATAGCTTTCAAGTCCTGGTTTTCTTTTTGAGGACACACCTCTTTCCCAGACACTTTGCTGTATCAGGAAAAAAAAAAATTCAGAAAGATCTTTTCATTCAGTCTGGTTTCATTTTGTGAGTTCAGATTTCTACTTCGATACCAACTTCTAGCTCTCTGAGTGATCACCAAGAAATTTATTAAGACTAAATATTGTTTAAAGTTGACAGTAAAGAAGTTTTTAATCTTTGCTGTCCCACCAATATCCTAAAATTAATATCCTAAATTTTTAAATTGGAGATGGGCACAAAGTAAGCCCTGGGAATTATCATTTAATAGCTGGTGAGCATGTGCCTTTTTAACACTGATACTCTGAAATTTTTAGATACTCCGAAATTGTGTATTGAAATAAATTAGAGTACATTCATAAGAAGCCTAGAATAAGTAATAGAATCTAATTTTCAAGTATCAGAATATCACAATTTTTAGAAAGGTATCTCTATTTAATGTTTTTTGACATCTTTGTACCACATGTATCCTTTTCTTTGCCACCTTTAAATCAAACTGTACAAGTAGGAATTGTTTTCAATTTACCTTCTTATTTTTGTCTTGTTCTGCTATTAGAATCAACTGTTGCCTCTCATACCAGGAAGCCACACCTCCCCCACACCTGATGGAAGAAAACAAGTCCTCCAGTTAAAATTTGATCATCTTCCAAACATTTAGGAAAATGTACTTTCAAGTGGAAAGTAATTTAATATGTACACATTTTTGTACAAGGGAGATAGGAATTCTCAGTGTTTCAAATGCAAATGAGCCATATGAAAATTAAGATGCCTTCTAGAATTGTTTTGCTCTGATCATTACTGATTCCTCTGCCCAGGCTTTTCACATGCCAGCTTTATCTCTTAGAACATTTTCTTAAAATGTTATAAAGTCTGAAACTGCACATATGGAGGAGATATTTTCAATCTCATCAGAGCAGCCCCTCAGGCAATTTATATTGAGAATTTGTGGGCTTTTACTTTGATTTATGAACAAGATTTGCATATACCATCTTGCTTCAGCTGACCACATACTGTCTTAGAGCAATATCAAATAGCTTGCCTCGCTGCTGTTTGTGTGAGAAATGACATTATGTTTCTGCATTTTAATTCACTCTTATTGTAACCAGGTCTGTTGAGTAATGCTGCTATTTTATTGGGTTTTCGTATTGGTATAGGAAGGGAACTTTAAAATGTCATTTATGTTTATTTTTTGATTCCAGGGTAGACTCTGCTTTCTCTTTCTCATGAGACATTGATGTTTCTGTTTTTAAAGCTAGCAGGAGAAAATGTTGTATATTTACACAGCAAATAGTGGATGAGCTACAAGGAATTACCATCTTCATAATACCCTGGGATAATGGGCTGCTGACTCTAATGCTGTCCTTTGGTGCATCATGGTTTGTTCTCCTTTTCTCCTCCTGGCTACATCTCGGTACCTAAACCTATCCTCCTGGCTGTATTTTCCAAATAGTTTATCATCAACAGTCTCTTCCAAACATTTGCATGCACAGCTTCTATGAACTTGTGCCGCCCTAAACTTGAGCATCATGGTCAAGTCAGGCCTGTGAACACTTCTGAGAGCAGGAAGATTCTCTTTCAGTTACCTTCATTTTGTGTCTCTTACCAAAAAAAAGAAGCAAACAAACAAAACACCTCAATAGGTGAGCCCAGTTTACACTGGGATATTTTCCCAAGTAAGCTTGACAGACCTATCTACATACAAACATATGTACATATATACACATATATGTTTATTTTTATTTTTTTTAAAATATATTTTATTGATTTTTTACAGAGAGGAAGGGAGAGAGATAGAGAGTTAGAAACATCGATGAGAGAGAAACATCGATCAGCCGCCTCCTGCACATCTCCTACTGGGGATGTGCCCGCAACCCAGGTACATGCCCCTGACCGGAATCGAACCCGGGACCCTTCAGTCCGCAGGCCGACGCTCTATCCACTGAGCCAAACCGGTTTCGGCTATATGTTTACATTGATAAATTGTGAAGCATCATAGTAGATGCCTGTTATCCTGGACATCTAAGGATGATGCCGAATATTTAAAGTACTTTGGGTTTGCTAACAAGAAACTCATGTGAAATTATAGCAATGGGCTGGCTCTTCTTGTCTGGCATAAAGACTCAAAAGAGTGAGGTTCCTATCAATAAATATTAAGATTATTTCATCAACTCTTTTTTGCTCCTAGGTTCAGCATGCTCACCTGAACATTTTGCAGATACACACAAGTTCAGAAATTCCTTGTATCTGGCACTAAGACACTAAGCATAAAGTATTTTAAAGAAACACAATAATAACACATTCCTCTTTAAAAGTTTATTGCACTTGTAGACCTGACTTATAAACTTCCAGAGAATCTCATTCAATCATCAGGGAGCATCCCTTTACTAAAGAATTATGGCATTTGAGCAGTGGTTCCTTGCTCACTGGAAGGGCATTCTGAGTGGGCTTATTTGGCCATTTAACATTCTGAGTGTGAATATAAGTTGCTAGGGACTTATTTTCCTCTTACTATTAAAAAATGCGCCTCCTCGGAGTTGTGTTTCTTGAAATTTTAATAAGATGATACCACAGGTGCAAGGAAAATGAGAAAAGATAAAAGGCAACTTTGCTAAAAGATTTCTTTTTAGCTTTCATAGTGTTTTTATCATGTAAGCCTCTTCATTGCCAAACCACTCATGCTACTCCAGCTCTTGTTACGTGCATATAAGCTGCACACACAGAAATCAGGACAGCACGAGACTCCATTACCCATCTTGCTCCTAACTGTGCCTCAAACAACAGTGAAGATTTGGGCAGAGTTTGGGAGAGTAATCCTCTTCCCTTACTTTTGCTTACATTTGCGAATTCAAATTAACATTTCTCTTTTTTTTCCCCTTACACAAATCCATCATTTACGTATGACTGGAGAGGAGAAAGCAGGTAATGCTTAGAGAAAGATTCTGATGCAGTCATATTACCACGCAGAACAATAACTCTTCTGATGACGTTTGCATGCTTGGCTTCCCTGCGTGACCCAGGTCACGTAGCACGGCTGCCGCCTGAATCACTCAGGCGCACAAATCTCCGTTTGCAGCTTTTCTCTGTCTCCAGTGCGTGCTGCTCACCTCTGGGCTGCACAGGTCCCCTTGCATTTCTCAGCCACATGACAAACAGATGCACCTCTGGGTCTGGTACCCAAATGAAGTCATGACTCTTGTAGAACTTATCCTCACAGAAGCCCGCAGGATTCTGTAATCTCGCCTTTCCTTCACTCTTGTCCAGCTTCTGGCTGACCTGGGCCTTGCCTCACGTGTGCCAGCTTTCCAGCTCTTTAATTTGTGTATAATTTTTTGCTGCTGCACACATACTGTGCTGTCGTGGTGAGTGGCCCCACCTGAATATTTGAATGTGGTGATTGTTCCCGCTTGCCCCAACCACGAAGCACTTGTAGAGGGTCACTTTTTGAAGGTTATTTTAACTAGACTGAAGCATTAACAAGCTGTGTTCAGTGGGCTTTTGAAGGCTTGGGATTAGGGAGGTGACTGGGTAAAGACACAGCCCTCAGGCAGGGAAGGAAGTGGTGAGCAGAGAGTAGATGTCCATCTTCTAGCTTCTAAGCGATATCACACTCTTCACTCATTGCTCTTGCAGATTCCCCAAACTACAAGGAAGGAGGAAATTAGTAAGTTCTTTTGACAAAAATTTTAGTTCTGAAAATATTTTATAGTTCTTTAGCTTACTTGCTATAGAATTATAATTTTTTTCAAAAAGATATCACTTTCTTGGTCATTTGTCACCATCAGTGATTTCCAATCATGGTTTTGGAGCAAATGGCACAGAGTAATCCCAAAGCATTTTTTTTTTATTAAAACATGTTACCAGAAGAGGAATGTTCCTAAAATTCCACAAACAGAAAAAAATTGAGGAGTCAGTGTAAGATATTAGATGAATCACAAGTATAGAGGTTTTTAGCGCATATAGTTAAGACAGAGAGAAAAGGCTACACACAGGTTAAAGTAATGTTCTGGGTACATGTCTGTGTTTATCTTAGATTAAAATCTTTAACTCAACAACTTCATTCTTGTTTTAGTAGACAACAAAAAGTTTTTAGGAGTGGTAGTTTAGAGAATAATAGAAATATCACGTGACCTGGGAGTTAGGACTCCAGGTTCTAGGCCTGGCTTGCAACTCTCTATATAGACGTGTAACTTTTCTTTGCCTTTATCTTCCCATTCTATATAATAAAAGCCTAATATGCAAATTGCCCAAACGGCGGAACGACCGGTCGCTATGATGCACATTAACCACCAGGGGGCAGACGCTCAATGCAGGAGCACCCCCAGCCTGTAGGCCTCAGGCCGGCCATGGCGGGTGCCAGCAGGGGCCCCCCAATTGCCCCGCAGGTCACCCCACAGATTGGTCCTGATCGTTGGCCAGGTCTAGGGACCCTACCCATGCATGAATTTTGTGCACCAGGCCACTAGTTTGTATAATAAGAGAGTAGATAATCTAGATGATCTAAGGCTCCGCTTCAGCTTGGTGTCCTGGGCATATCTCCCACTAGAAGATGCTTTCTACAGATTGTTCTACACTAACAATGCCAAGGTAAACTTCGGTGTTTATGATGTAGCCAGGAGCTTGGAGGTCACTTTATTTCTCTCTCATCTCTCACTTGCTTGATTTCTTTCACACACACAGAAACACAACTGCTCCCTGCTAGTTCTATCAAGTCAATAGGAGTTTGTAGACAACCATCTAATGGAGGTTACATTTTATAAATTAAAGTAGATTTTAGAGCTAATGATCACTAGATTTTAATGTAAATAAACCGGTGTGCTTTTAAAATGCAGAATAATGTGTAATAATTTTTTGATGTTTTAATCTAACTCTGATTAGCTTGGAAATTACACATATGCTGTGAAACATTAATTTAAGATAACCATTAAGGCAAAGAACATTTAGTACATTTCTAACCTCAGTAAAACCTTTAGTAGTTTCAATAAATAATAACTTAATGGAATTCTACAAATATATCTGAAATTATATTCGTTTTATATTTCAACAACAGGGTCTCGGGTTCAGTCAACTTTATATTTAACCTATAATTTACATAAGCTGAGAATTGGGTTACCCTACTTAACAGGCATATAAATGACTTGTATTTTTAAAGTTAAAATTTTCTTTTCTGTTGTGAACTAACCTTATTTAACCATATCTCTCAATATTATCCATTGAGGACGTTGTGTGTTTACTTATTATTTTAGAACATATTTCAAATCACATGAAATTATGGCGATATACTAATTGGCATTTGATAATTAACACAATGGCAATATATGCTGCTAAAAACAATTCACTACAACCCCTTTTTTGTTGTATTATGTTAACTATATAAATACATAACATTCTTTAAATTTAGCTTAAGGTATATAGAAAACTTAGTATGGGATTAAATATTTTGGCGACTTTACATTTGTATATATAACAACCTGAATGTGTCCTCTAGCTTATTTTAATAAAAGTTAGAAATATTTCTGTCTCCTTATTTCCCTTTAATTCAGCTATTAGTCCATATCTAATGTTTTGTATTTAGGTTAAAAAAAAACTGTCATCGTCACATATAAATTCCAGAACTTTTTATTTAATGTCCCATCAGTTGGAATATCCGAACAGCTGGCGTGCCAACTGTTCCTTTTGGGCTGGAAAGTTTCACAAATGGGGAAACTAACAAAATCTTTTCCAGTCTGACCGGCTAGATGCTCATTCCTGAGAACATCTTTACAACTTTACTTTGAGGCTGTAAGATTCTTTTCCTTTCAATTCATCAGAACATTTTTCTCATTCTTTACAATAACTAAGCTACAAAATGTGAGATTTTCTTGACACTTCAATTTCAGGCTATCACAATAGTTTCTGTGGTTTAAAAAGGTGAAAAAGGCTCAAGACCAAACGTAGACTAATGATCAAGGGAGAGAAGAACAGCCTTGGCCGGTGTGGCTCATGGTTAGAACATCAGCCCGCGTACCAAAAGGTAGTGGGTTCAATTCCTGGTCGAAGGCATGTACCTGGGTTGCAGGTTCAATCCCCCGCCCCAGTCATGTGGGAGGCAACCAGTTGATGTGTCTCTCTCACATCAATGTTTCCCTCTCTTCTATCTCTCTCGCCCTCCCTCCTTTCCATTCTCTCTGAAAAGCAGTGAGAAAAAACATCCTCAGGTGAGGATTTTTAAAAAAGAGAAAAAATTAGTAAAATAATGAATGAAGTCATTATTTAAATATACTTCAATTCTTTTCTTTTCTTTTCTTTTGAACTAACCTTTCTGCTTTCATTATTTTTAACCGTGCTTATGCTTGAAAGAAAACAGTAGATTATCTCCATCGATAACTGCAACAATTTCTCCCATCCCACCTGCCTTTTGCAATAATCCTTTCCTCTCCTTTTACCAGGAGGTGAGGTCTCCTTCCCTCCTCCCTGCCTTGTGACCTGTGACTTCCTTAGACAAATAGAATGCAGCAGAGGCGCCACTGTGCCACTCTGGGCCTACCCCTAACGTGGCCTGGCAGTTTCTGCTTTTTGTCTCCAGAGAAGCCAGCCACCCTGCTGTAAAGAAGCGTAGGCTGGGCTTCCATTGATAAGACACCACGTGGAGAGAAAGACCACTGGGAGGGCACCAAGGCCTTCCTAGCCCTCCCCACTCGGTGCAGCCACCAATTGAATGTAGCCAAAGCTGTGTCCCCAGCCATTAGAGCAGGGTAACTGCCCAGCTGGG